ACTCTAGAATCTTTCTTGATGACGCAGGGGCCGGGAATGATCTCGTGAAGGGCCGGCGCTTTATCACCGGCCGGCCAGGAAGAGAAGGAGGAAGCCTTCTCTTTCCAAGGAACTGTTTTAGAAGTTTTCGCCATTGATTCAAACTAAAGGAAGTGGAGATGGGCGGAGTTTTATGTTTTCTGGCACTAAAAGGATTAGAGTAACGGGTAATGAGAGAGAAGTGATGAAGAGAGGGAGATATAAAAGGATTTTGGAGGTGGAATGAAGATTGAAGTAAAGTTTCTCCAAAAAGTGAACATTGTATTTATAGGCAAGCGGCGACGATTCGACGGCGCTAATGGCCGACCACCACTGGTGAAGCATTTAATGTTTTGGGAAAGCGAACCGACGGGACGTTTTAGTCCCCTCGAGCGCCTGCGTCATAGGAATGACGTCATCATCAAGGACTCTGGAGAATCGAGGCTCAAGTCGTTTCTTATCATTTTATTCTAAGAAACGCGAGGACTATCTGTATACGGTCAAAATCATGTGTCCCCGATTTTGTTGGCTCGAGGAGTCGCATCGAGAACAAGCTCAATATGGACCGAGCTCGAGCTCGAAGGCGGAATACGAGACTCAAAGATCTAAGTGCTCGAGGAACATCGGAGTCGAGTATGGTCAACCTGGGATAATACCATTATGGTTTTATAACAGAAAGAGCGAGATTCCCGCGAGGGCCCTAAGATCACGCTGTAAATTCTGGAATAGATTTGTACGAGCTAGTACGGATTTGTACTAGGCGGTTAGACAGCTGTCGCAATAAGATTCCTTACTAAAAATGGAAATGTACCTTATTTAGGGTTCCCCTACTATATAAAGGGACACCAATCATTTGTAACGCATCAATCATTGGCAAAAGAATATACTCTCCTACTTTCTTGCTCATTACTCATCAGAGTTGTCTCTTAACTTTATTGCCTTTACTGTACTGCTATTGTTGGCCAACCTCGAGGCCATCATAGCTCGAGGTCAAGATTTGCTCAAGCACTGGTTTGATTCAACTTACTTCTTTAATTTATACGTTTGGTTTCTTGATTATTAATTAGTATTGAATTAATGGCGTATCTTTAAAACCACAAATAAATTTAATTGTTACTCGTATCTCGAGGTAAACATATTGCTTTGCAGTACACATCAGAATCTATTGCTGTCAAGGACTCAAGAGCAATGAACCGAAATATTGGTTGCTTCAAGACGTTTTGTGGAACTTAAAAATAACTACTCCTACCATTTACTATTCCCTTTTATCCGGAAAATTAGTCGCTTTAACAGATTTAATTTGTTGTCCAATATTTGATTTTAAAAAAGAACAAGAAGCCATTTATTACAATTTCAAATATATTCTAACTGTTCAATTAGTGGAATATTGATTAAATGAAATATTTTATGTTTAACGAGATAAAGAATAATATAGACAAATATTATTATAATTATTGCTATTAAATGTTTGCTTTAGGTAATTTGAACTTTGTATTCTTTCATATCAAGCAGAAGTCCTATAATCCTATGGCCCTTATCAATTGACAGTTGTAATAAGAGAGGAAAGATAACTGAGAAGTGCACAAATAATCATTCTTAGGGTTGCTATTTAGGGATTAGCCAATACTTATTTTATTTTAAAATTTAAACTAAAAATCTTAACTTCAGAACAATTAAGGACATTTTATGTCCCAAAAAATTAGACAGAAAAACTATAATTCAAGACACCTTAGTTGATTCCTAAATAGTAGCCCTTAAGAGTGGCTAGCTCGTGTCATTTCTACGTTTGTTAAAAGTTGCAGGTTTGTTTCGTATACAGAATTCTGGCGCTCCGTTCCAAGCTCTGCCAATAGGTAAACCAAGGTAGCATAAAACAAAAAATCATCAATTCTCGTCCCATTTGACTGGGATAGGGAAGTTTTATGATTATATGATGTCTTCTACTTCTGTTCTATTGTAATTTACACATCTCAATTATACAAAGCTGGTCAAAATACTTTTTAGTTTTAAAGATAGAGAAAACTAAAGAAGAATGTGCTGAAAAAACTAAAGAAGTTATCAAAACCGAGTTGGTAACCGATATTAAGTGGAGTGCAAGACCTCAGAGGGTGTATATTCACCTGCCTTTCAGATTTCACATGAACCAAGATGACTAGTGACTGCTAAACAATAGGCTCTCCTTTGCCCATGTCTAATTTAGGAATGATAGTACCACAAAAGGTAGATTTGTTTATGATTAGTCAAATCAGATGCTGTGATTTAAAGAGAAGGGGTTCAGTTAATACCAAAATGTCCCTCAACTAAAGAACGAGTCCGGAATCATAATGTGGTTATTTTGGACAAGTAGCACCTTAATAGGTGTAAAAAAAAAAATGACATTTTTATATATAGCGCCCAAATACTGGGCGCTATACATTAACGTTAACTGTGTCGTTAATGTAGTGCCGAGTATTTGGGCGCTATATATAAAAAGCTGCCACGCCTAGGTATAGCGCCCAAATACCCGGCGCTATAGCGCCCAAATACCCGGCGCTATACATAAAACTTTATGTATAGCGTCCAGTATTTGGGCGCTATACACCTTTTTCCTGGCCCCGCCAATAATTCCTGACTTCAATAATTCAAAAGCGTATAGTGCCCACTTTTTGGGCACTATATAATAAAAAAATAAAAAAAATTCCCGGCTAGCCATTTCCTATATAAAGAGGTTAGGATTGTATAGAAATTCATTCAAAAAAAATTTTAACTCTTGTTGAAACGTTTATTGTTGTTAAATTCTCCAGCATTTTTTCATTATGTCTGAAGAGCGTAGAATAAGAGTTTCATTATATTAGGGGGGTGAGGTTGTGATGGAGAATAACTCTGTGGGCTACAGTTTACCTGCTCAGTGTCATGTTAAATTGCCACTTACAATGGAGTACGATAAATTGATATCGTTGTTATGCAAAAAAATGAGTTTGAGGAAACGTTTAGTGATACTTAAAGTAACCGGAAGATATCCGCATTCCGTCACTCCGCCAGGGGTTGCTTTTTACCCGGAGTTTAACATCGACGATGATGAAACTTTGAGTGATTTTCTGAGGACTCCGGATGAATGCCGGGAATTTCTTGTAATCACAATGTTGGAGATGTACGTGAAGGTCGACGACGTTCCAAAAAATGAGGTTGTGCGTAGTAGAGATAACCCCCAGTCATCGGGTGGTTATTCTAGAGCACTTTTTGCCGGACAGGTTCCGGATGAAAGAATTTTCCTTGATTTAAACTTATCACCGCCGGCGAATGAGCAGCGAGAAAATAATTTATACCCTGCTTTCCATAATTCACAAGACGAGTGGTAAACTTCAATTTTCATTTGTGTTAATTATGTATATTTTTGGTGTATTGAATTTGTATTAACGCTCATATATTTAATAGGGGGTACCGGCCGGATATGAATTTTACAAGTGGCCTATCCGGTAGTCATCACCTAATTGAAAATGTTCACCATGGAATTTCATCACATTACGACTTGTAAGTGAAGTGATATAGCCATATGGAAAGCATTTATTAATTCAGTAGCTTATTTTTTATTAAAGCATGTATATAGCGTGGTCAAAGAGTACGTTATGTGTGTTGTCTTGTCGAACTGAAAAGGCTGTCCAACTGACATAAAGCTGTTTCGTACCTGTCGAAACATTTAATACGCAAAGCATAGCGTGGTCAAATATTACGTTATGTGTGTATATAGCGTGGTCAAAGAGTACGTTATGTGTGTTGTCTTGTCGAACTGAAAAGGCTGTCCAACTGACATAAAGTTGTTTCGTACCTGTCGAAACCTTTAACACGCAAAGCATAGCGTGGTCAAATATTACGTTATGTGTGTATATAAATCAGGATATTAACAGACAAATTTATTTGACAAGTTTATATTTTTTATAAAACACTAATATTAAATCTGGATAAATTTAACATACTAGTTTCGAGAAGAAGAACCGGACATAAAATATTGAGGAAGAAGAAGCAGAATGGTCGTCTTGAAGAAGACGGCTCGTTTTTTAAAAAAGGGGTATAGCGCCGGGTATTTGGGCGCTATACCTGGGCGTGGCAGCTTTTTATATATAGCGCCCAAATACTCGGCGCTATACATTAACGGCACAGTTAACGTTAATGTATAGCGCCCAGTATTTGGGTGCTATATATAAAAATGTCATTTTTTTTTTTCTACACCTATTAAGGTGCTACTTGTCCAAAAGAACCACATTTTGATTCCGGACTCACTAAAGAACATTATCCGATGAGCACAATCCGTAGAAGAAACTGATGAGTCATAAATAGATGAATAGCTGACATTCAAGGCAAAACAAATGTCACTATAGCATGGCGGTCAATATAGCATGGCCAAGTATCACAGAGTAGATTGTGATATGAATGTACAAATCGCTTTACCCACTCATCTAATCAGAGTGTAAGCTGTCAAAGTCTGAATGTAACTGATTTGGAAGCACCGCATTCTAGCCCTACCTGAAACTTGGTGTCGAAAGCTAGGATCTAATAATCCCATGGCTCTCGACTTCACTGTACAAACTCTTAAACAATCAAAAGAACCACTCGATAGAATGGCTCAAGGCTTCTTGGTTAAACAAGGGATGCAGGTTCAAGACTATGAGCTCATATCTTACCTTTAGTAGGACTAAAGTATCTTCATCGACTACTCCAGAAAGAAAAATTACTCAACTCTTTCTTAGCATTTAAATATGCCTTTTAACCAAGACTCTGAGAGACCAGCTTCTTCTTAAGCTATCAATTTTAATAAGCCATAGAGACTGCCACTGAAAGCCTAACCTAAATAGCAGCTACTAACAGCCATAAGGGATTGTGAAAAATCTTGGTACAACCATATTGGATTAATTGTATCAGCTAAACCAATAACTATTTTCGAATGGTATGGCTTGTTAAGTCATCACTCTCATCTAACCCTGTCTGGTAATAATATTCATGTTTCATGAGATTGGATAAGTTTCTATTATATATCATGGTTGAAATCACAATGAGATCAAGTTCAACACTACTGCAGAAAAGGGATAAATAACTCTTACAATGAACATTCACCTGGAAAGAACATCTCATTTCAAACAAATGGTAGATAGAACTCAAAATACTTTGGGAAACAGGCTTCAAGAGTTTTCAAAATCTACAGACTAACACGATATCATAACCATTTACTGGCTTACTGCTTCTTCAAGAGCAGGGGTCCAACGTTATCTCCAGTTGCCTTATTGTGCTTCACGTGGCTTCCATCACATAGAGGAAAAGTCCCAGACCTCCAACACCTGCAGCCAAAATCAGCCACTTACTAAAACTACAAACGATATTCTATTTCAAGATTCTAGCAAGAATTACAAAAGGAAATCTGCACAATAATAAAAGGAGGAAAACTATGACTCTGTTTCCCAGTTCAATGATCAGTTACTGTTATCATGTAGATAATAAGTGGTGCTTCTTATCCATTCTCAATCAATGAAGGCGGTGAAACAAATCCAACTAGAGAAACTCACATTGTACTTAGCTCGAACTCGCGACCCTCACCAAGTTTTATTCCTCTCTCCCCATTGAAAGCACTGACTAATCCCAAGTCAAAAGTTGGAGAAACTCAAGTTTGTTTCGCTCTCGGACAGATTATTCATAACTTTGTGTTTGTCACAGGAATCTTTAGTTGATTAAAATCTAAGTCATAGGGCATGCAATTGATTTTAAATTGGACAAAATACTATCAGTAATATCTTTGAGTTATATTTTATCACTTCATATGATCTCTATATGGTATATCTAAGGGTGGCAAACGGTCGGGTCGAGCCGGGTCGGATATGAGCAGTTCGAAAACGGGTAATACAAAAATGGATAAATTATTCGATCCGACTCATATTTAATATGGATAAAAAAAAGGGTTAACTAACAGATAATATGAATATCCATATTATTCATGACTTTTGTAAAAATTAAACTCAGTAGTTAATCACTCGTATTTAACCCATTTTTAAAAATTCATTATTCAACCCATTTTATAATGGATAATATGGGTGGATAACTGGTTTCTTTTAACCATTTTGCCACCACTAGGTATATCATTTGTATTAAACACAATTAACGTAATATAACTAGTAAATTACAGCATAATTTGTGCAGGTAGTATTAATACAGAAACTAAAATGAACAAATCCCTGTTCCTACGAATGTACAAGAGTCGTTACTACAAAAGGAATTTTCAAATAAAATAAGGTTGAAAAACGATGAAAAGGTTACAATATTGTCGATTGACCCATCCCTCTTTGTGCCTTATCCCTGTGCACAGCGATATAAGTATGTATTCAGTTATCAACAGATTATTTAAATCCCTACTCTGCTTCAGTTAACCTTTACTGGAGTATTATAAAATTGCAGGCTGCTGACAATATTTGTCGGCATATTCCACAGTACAAAAAGTGAAAGGGCTTTGACTCTTTATATAATAGGAGTAGTATAATTTAGTTATAAACAAAAATAAAAAGAAGAACCTGCAGTAGGCAGTAAGAGGCTTAGAGAGTTCAGTGACAACAACAGAATCCACCACTTTGGCTTCGTCCTTCTTAATATCTGGGTTTATAGCTTCAGCCCGAACAACCACCATCCGCCTGGGCCTCGCCGTAAACGAAGATAATGCGCCGCCGCATGAGAACCCAGCTTGAATCATGCTTATAGCCGACGCCATTGTCAATTTTTGGTTCTATTTTTTCTCGCTGTGGTTTCAGGTTGGTGAAAATCAGAAGGAAAGTATGTGAAGTATAAAGAGAAGAGAAAGGGGTGAAGGGGGTGACGAACGTGTGGCGACCACGGTCCTCTTTGTGATGTTCACTAATCGAGTGGAGCTTACCATATCCACGTCCTTCTATTACGTTCATCGCCTTTGATTTCTCCTCCAAATTTTGTGATTTCTATCGAAATTAAAATGGAAATTTGCTTTGTAAAACTTTCAATCTTACCAAAGTAATTTCTTGCTTCTGTTACCTTTTTAACATGTCCGCATTGACAAAATTTGGAAAAAAAAATATATTCTTGTTTGATCTAGGGACTATTTATACATGAATTATTATGCATGAATCGTCTATAAAGTTATTAATAATAGAACCACGTTCAAATTAAATTATGACAATTGTCCGACACCGAATTTTAGGCCGGCTACTAATTTGAGCCACAAGTGATGTGAGTGAAAGACGGGTGGTTAAATTTGCACTATATATGGTTCTAGGTGGGAAGGGAAGGAAAGATGAGTGGTGTACGGGAATGTAAATGAACTTCTATTCCTTTTATTGGGCAAGAGAGTGGTAGTAAGTGCAATAGTTAAACTTAATCCTTTTTGGTTGAAATGTAAAGTAAGATGGAAGCGAAGCCTAGTGTTGATACTTCACGCGCCAACCCTATTGAGATTATTGCCTAGTTGTGTAAAGTGGCTAGTTTGTTATAAAGTGGTTAGTTACATCTAGACATTTAATTTTAGTTAATTAGTTAGATTGTGTACATATATTTTTTACAGATGTTAATAATATTTGAGGTTTCATTTCTCATTTTTTGTTCTCCTTCTTCTAGATTGTTCTCTCTCTCCCCCCCCCCCCCCCCCCCTCTATTTCGACCTCCATGGCTGCACAAGCTAAGCTTGGACCAGGCTTCACCTTGAACAATTAACATGGTATCAGAGCGAGTCGTTCCGATCTATCATCTCTCTATCATCCTTTTTCTTCTCTGTGTCCGTCAATTTTGATTTTTTCCCCAAATCAATCGATCGTTGAAAGTAGTTTCATTTTTGCCCTAATTTAGTGTTTGAGAAGGGGCTTTTTTCTCCCAAAGTGTAATACTCACACAATTAACCTCAATCACTAATGGTTGTTGATGATTTGAGCGATGTGGCTAGAACAGATGTGCATGTCGGAGTTCCAGGAAATTCCGGAATCGATCCAGGTGATCCCTTGTATCTACACCCGTCGGATAATCCCGGTGCTATGCTTGTTTCTGTTCCTTTCAATGGTGTTGGTTATCGTTCATGGAGGCGTGGTGTGTTGCGAGGTCTGTCAGTGAAAAACAAACTAGGGTTTATAAATGGCGAATGCAAGCGCCCAGATCCTCAGTCACCCACATTCCATCAATGGGAACGATGTGATGATATGGTGACTTCATGGATTCTTAATTCCTTGTCAAAGGAGATCGCAGACAGTGTTGAATATGCAAATGATGTTATGGAGCTGTAGATTGAACTAGAAGATAGGTATGAGCAGACAAATGGAGCTCGATTGTACCAAATCCAAAAAGAAATAAACGATACATCACAGGGAACTCTTGACATTACCAACTACTACACAAATTGAAGAAACTCTAGGAAGAATTGAGCACCTTGAGTAAAAAGTCTCAATGCACTTGCAACTGTACCTGTGGTGCAAAGGAAAATTTCTACAAAGTTGAGCAGGACAGGCGTCTAATACAATTTCTTATGGGGTTGAATGAAACCTACACTGTGATTCGAGGAAGCATCCTCATGATGAATCCATTACCAAACTTAACTCAAGCTTTTTCTCTCCTAATACAAGATGAGAAGCAGAGGAAAATCAAGCCACACACTCAGTTGTTCATTGAATCAACCTCTATGAATGTTGCTAGTTCTAGGCCCAACACTTATAGGACCAACTATTCACCTAACAACAACAACTATGGTGGACATGGAAGGGGAAGACCTATATGTTATTACTGCAGAAAGCCAGGGCACACTAAGGATAAATGTTTCAAACTACATGGCTATCCTGAGAATTCTGGATACCCTCGCAATCAAAATCACAATCCAAACCAACATTTCAACCAGAATCAGGGATTCAATCGCAACTAGAACTTTAGCAAAGGAAAGAGAATAGTGGCTAATGTACATGGAAATCAGTCTTCTGACATGTTACCCAACAAGGGAGAAGAACAAAACGATTTGAATGAAGACCAGAACATCAGCCTGTCAAAGGAGCACTATGGACAGATCCTGACTCTGCTCCAACACTTTCAAGCTGGAAATGGAGGAGAGAATGCCGCTTTCACGAATCTTATCAATGGGGCTGTGAACTTTGCAGTTATAATAGTCTGTACTTCCTCTATAGATTTTGGTAAATTGTCATGTCAATGTCTCAAAAACAAGACTGATTCCTGAATTTTAGACTCAGGGGCATCAAACCATATGACCTTCAATAAGTCACTACTAACCAATGTCATAACACTACCCTATCCGCTCCTAGTTGTCCTACCAAATGGATATAAAGTAAAAGTAACAGAAATTGATAGTGTAACACTTGTGCCTAATAGGTCGGCCGCCCTACCTAAGCCAATCATCATATCGGTCCCTAGACCCCATTGTTGGAAAGGCTTTACATAAAGTAATATTTGTACCTTCTTTCAAATACAATCTAATTTCCATTCATGGTTTAACCAGTGTTAATCCCAGAAGTATAGTAGACTTCACTAACAATCTTTGCATTCTGCAGGCCCCTTCAATAAGAGGCCTCTGGAGTTGGTAAGTCTTGTGATGGGATGTACCTTCTCTGCCCAAAATGTCTGAGAAGCAAGTATTCAGGTTCTGTTGTTAGCAATTCACTTTCTTGCGTTGGCAATAAGGCTCACTGCACACGCAACTCACACTATCATATTGGTTCATCTGTACATAGTTCATTGTCCACAAATAAGTGTGTCTGTCTTCCTCCACCTGTAGATGTTCCATGTTTGAATAATAAAAATCTTAGTCTGAATTCTTGTGTATCATCTAATAATGATGTAATGTTCTGTGGCATAATAGACTTGGGCATGAACACTTTGTCAAAATGAGAGGGATTACCTCTATACCCATCTCTTTTCCTCCAAAGCAACCCTTTCTTTGTTCTATTTGTCCAATGGCCAGGCAGGGAAGACCGCCATTCCCCCAGAAAACAAATTTTTCCACAAAAATCTTCCAGGTACTACACATAGACATATGGGGACCTTACCATGTGGCAACCCATGATAACTATAAATACTTTTTTATAGTGGTGGATGATTACAGTAGGTCCACTTGGACTAACCTTCTCTCATGCAAAAGTAATGCATTACAAGTCATAAAAATATTTATTTCTATGGTTGAAACCCAATTTAATACAAAATTCAAAACAATCAGATCTGACAATGGCTCAGAGTTCACTAGTATAGAGGCAAATATGTTTTTCGAATCCAAAGGCATAATTCACCAAAATACCTGCCCTTACACACCTCAACAGAATGGGATAGTGAAAAGAAAACACAAATATCTCCTGGAAACTGCCAGGGCACTCCTATTCCAATCCAAATTACATGTAAGATACTGGGGTGAATGCATCTTGTGTGCAACCTACATCTTAAATAGATTAACCTCTTCCCATAGTCATCCTAAATCTCCATTTGAACAACTTCACAGAAAAAGCCAACATACTCTCACATGAGAAGTTTTGGATGCCTATGTTATCCTTCTGTATTAAAAGTGCACAGAGACAAATTTGAACCTAGAACATCCCCACACATATTCATTGGTTATCCCTATGGTGTCAGAGGGTACAAGGTCTTAAGTCTTGCCACTAAGAAAATATCTGTTTCTAGGGATGTTTCTTTATTGAGAATATGTTTCCCTTTTCTATATCACCTGACAACTCTTCATTCCCCTCTATTCTAATTTGTTCCATTCATTGATAAGATTCAAGAAGGCACTGTATTTGCTTATGATAGTGATAATGGCACCGGTGTTACACATGGACAATTCCAACACTTTGAGTCCAACACTAGTTATGAGAGTCCCTCCAGCCCTTTGCCACAATCTGAAACACCTCAACCTTCAAGACACACTTCATCGCCAATAGCCCATCAGCTTGTCAACACACCTGTTGTCTTAAGGAAATCACAAAGACCACATAAGACACCTGCATATTTACAAGACTACCTACACTCACTCCCTACACTAAGACCATTACCATCTGTTACTCACAGTAGTTCTGCTGCACCTTTCTCTCTTAATGCACTATTCTCTAACAACCACCATATGACCTCTGATGTGAATCCAGAGAGTCAAAGTCTTGTGAGGTATATCTGCAGTGACAGTGAACCCTCATTTTATGAGGAGGCAGCTATGAATCCTGCCTGGCAAACAGCTATGAACTAAGAGTTTGAAGCATTACATGCCAACCACATTTGGGATTTAGTTCCCTTACCTGCTGGGAAGAAAGCCATAGGATGTAAGTGGTTGAATAAAATAAAACACAAGGCAGATGGTAGTGTAGAAAGAATCAAAGCTAGGTTGGTTGCTGATGATAGGATATAATTACGTATTTTAGTCTCTTATTACACTCTAATTTACTGCACTTTAATTGAGTTTGAACATTAATCGCTAGTGTCTTGCGCTAACTGTGTGTTTTATGCCTTGTAGGAGTGATTCCGAGCTATGTAGATGTTATGGAATGAATTCAAGTGATTTGGAGCTTTGAAGTCTGAGTAAAAGCTCAAGGAATTAAGCCGGGATCATGTTTGGGGGTCAACGGATGATAGTTAGAGCGAACGAAGAATCGAGTAGGCATATCGCGCACTGTCTAGTAAAATCGATATAACGTTTTGCTCAGAACTCCATTTGGGCTCCACAATATATGGTTGGAAAGCTAACTCAAAGGGCTACAACTTTCATATTTTATGTTTTTCCAAATTCCAAACGGAACAGGTTCAAAAACGCGATTGAAACTACGACTGCGGACCTGACACGGACGGAGACAGAATATAACCCAACTAGCGCGGCCTTAGCGCTGGCTTAGCGCGGCCGCGCTAGTCCAGACGGAAAAACAAATCTGAAGGGTACTTTTTGAAGTTCAAGACCAATCCCCTCAACCTATAAAAGGTTTAGTTCGTCCAAAGGAGGAGAGAATAAGTTTTTAGGGTTTAGAACAAGGAAAAGAAACAAGAGGCAAGGAGGCGGAGGCACTACTTTAGGGTTAGACAACACCCTTGGAGGCAAGAACATGCTAGGAGCAAGGAGGAAGATTCAACTACCAGTTTTTCCCCTTC